GTGAAGAATAGTGGTAGAAATTTTATTTAGAGGTTTTTGCGAGCGTTTGCAGTTTTTTTTCACTCTCTTTCTCTGTCTCTCGTTTTTTAGTGGAAGTTTCGAAAGGGAGGCTTTATCGCCCCCTTTTCTTTCTTAGTTTGTGCGCGGGCGGACGAAGGAATACACAGAGAGACACGGAGTTGTTTTACATTTTAAGTAGTGATATCGAGTTTGCATGCAAATGCATGATTACACGGGGGAGAGGCAAAGGACGTTGTCGTCAGAGCCAGTGGAAGATGGAAAGCGAAGAGAAGCGAGAAAGGTACAAGAAGAAGGAAACCCTGAAATAGAAATGAACCGGAGGGAAAGTAAATTATGCTATCGGAACACGCTCCCACTTACTTAGTGCGCAAAGATTTTATTTTCAAATCGAATTCATGACAAATATTATTTTTATATGAAAATCTCGATTTCAAAATTATCTTTATCTCATCAATTTCTTTTAATTTTTTGTTTTTTTAAATAATTTTCAAAGAATATGAAATTGAGAAAAAAAAACATATCAAACGTTTAATATAATTATACCTATTACGATGTTATTTTGTTTGGATTTGTAATTTTAGTGATTTTTAATTTTAGTTTAATATAATTATTAAACAGGGTTACCACAGGTCAGGGAAATCAGGGAATTTAGGGAAAAGTCAGGGAATTTTATTAAAAGTACTGGAAAAAATTTATTCTGTAGAATTCATAAGAAAACTCTGAATTTTCTGTGTATTTTCTTTTTTGTTTGCCTCAAACTATGAAATTACCACGAATTCTAATACAAAACCTTCAACATTTTTTTCTAATTCTGACTAGAATGAATTTTTTAATATTATTTAATTATTTCAAAAGTTTTAATGCTATTATCTTGATAAATAACAAAATTCTTTACAAAAATTCAATTATTTTTAGGAATTTAAAAAAAATTCTTTACAAAATTCGATTATTTTCATAAATAACAATATTTGTAGCAAGAATTCAATTATTTTCAAAAGTAATAAAATTCTTCGAAAAAATTCAATTATTTTTAAAAATTTGAACAAATATCTCGTCAAGAGTTCAATTATCTTTATAAATAGCAAAATTTTTCGCCAAAAATTCAATTATTTTCAAAAAATTGAAATAAATTTCTTTGCAAAATTTCAATTATTTTCAAAAAATTTTCGCATTTCAATAATTTTCAATATTTATTTTCATAAAATTAATGAAAAGATTTAATTATTGAAAAAATGTGTGATACAATTATTCTACGTAAAAATTCAATTATTTTTATAGATGATAAAATTTCATTTAGGAATTTAATTATTTTCATGGCAGAATTTCCAGTATTTTTAATACAATTTTCAATAAATTTAAGATTTAAATAAATTCAAATTTAAGAACCATTCCATTATTCAATAAAATAATAAAATTCGTTGCAATAATTCAAATATTTTCATAAATAACTTTTCATTCGTCACAGAAAATTAATTATTTTCAAAAAAATTTTAAGTAATTTTGCAAAAAAATTCAATTATCTTGATAAACAACAGAGTTTTCCACATAAAATCAATTATTTTAAAGAATTTTAAGAAAATTCTTTTTCAAAATTGAATTATTTTCAAAAGTAATAAAATTTTTCGAAGGAATTCAATTATTTTTTAAAATTTGAACCAATATCTCGTCAATAATTCAATTATCTTTATATATAGCAAAATTTTTCGCCCAAAAATTCAATTATTTTCGGAAAATTGAAATAAACTTCTTTGCAAAATTTCAATTATTTTTAAAAACTTTTCGCAGTTTAATGATATTAAATATTTACTATTTTCATAAAATTTATCAAATACTTTAATATTACTGAAAAAAATTTTTGATAAAATTCTACGTAAACATTTAATTATTTTCATAAATGATAAAATTTCATTTATAGGAATTTAATTATTTTCATTGCAGAATTTCTAATATTTTTAATACAATTTTAAATAAATTCCTTAAAAAAATGCAATTATTATTAAAAATTTTTTTTAAAACTTGAGGATAGAATTCAATTTTAAGAAACATTCATTTATTTAATAAAATAATAAAATTCGTTGGAATAATTCAAATATTTTCATAAATAACTTTTCATTCGTCACAGGAAATTAATTATTTTCAAAATTTTTTAAGTAATTCTGCAAAAGAATTCAATTATCTTGATAAACAACAAAGTTTTCCACATAAAAGCAATTATTTTAAGGAATTTTGAAAAAATTCTTTTTCAAAATTCAATTACTTCGATAAATATCAAAATTCATCGTAAGAATTTAATTCTTTTGAAAACTAATAAAGTAATTTCCGAAAATTAAATTATTTTCAAATTTTTTTTTAAAATTCCGGTTAAGAATTAAATTGTCTTTTTTATAAATGGAGAGCGAAAATATTCTTAAGAATTAAATTATTGTCAGAAATTTTAATAATATTCTTGTCAAAATTTCAATTATTTAAACGAAATTGAATAAAAATTCTTCGCATCAATTCAATTATTTTCATAAATTATTATTTAAATTCTTCTCAGGAATTAAATTATTTAAAAAATTTTAATCAAATTCTTCAAAAAGTTTTCAATTATTTTCAAAAATTCTTATAAAATTCTTTAAGAATAAAAATTCAGGAAAATTTTAATTAAATTGCTTAAAAGAAATTAATTATTTTAAAAAGGTGTTAATAAAATTCTGTGTAAAAATTAACTACCAAGAAAAATTCAATTATTGAATAAATTATTTATTTTTGTATTTAAATAATTGAATTCTCGTAGAATTTTCTAATAAAAATTAATTTAAAAATGAATAATTTCAATTCAAATTTTAGATAATAATTAAATATTAAAAGCATTAGGGGAGAATATTTAGAAATAACTGAATTTTGAAAAGGTTTCGAATTCAAATATTTGAAAATCAGAATTTTTCCTACTTTTAACTAATAATTCTGTGTAGAATTAATAAATATTATTAATTTACAAGGTTACCTTTAATGATTGTAAAAATATGAAGAAATCGATTACACCGAGTCGAAGACTCGGAGTTATCAATTTCTTCATGTTTTATAATAATTCTTATAAGTTATCGAATTTCAAAAAGGTTTGAATTTAAATGTTTTGAAGAATTTTAATTTCTATGGAAAAATAACAATAATTAAATATTTATTTAAAAAAGAAGTTGTTAATGTTTTCGAATAATTTTACTTTTGAAGAAATTTGTAAATATATGCAATAGAAATTTTTTTGAGTATCTAATAATTTTTCGAGTGAAACAAAATATTCTTCAGGGTCAGGAAAAAAGTCAAAATCAGTCAGGAAAAAGTGTGGAAATCAGAAAAAGTCAGGGAGAAACGAAATTTAATTCTGTTAAATAATAAGTTTAGAAAAGAAATAGTATTTATTCTTTATTTTTAAGTTCGGGTTCCTTTTTATTTTTCAACACGGCATATTGATTTAGAAGATATGCACGAAAGTTTTTCGATTCACTTTTTTTTTCTCCATCTTCTATTTCCGGGAAGCGTGGGAGGGGGGCATTATTTACGGGCACAATCATCTGGCGTTTTCAAGCTGACACGCACACATTCGCCTTTTTTTCCATAGGGAGGAATCGTGTTCGCGCGTACACATTTGCGGAAATTCATAGGACGAACTGGAGAATTTACACGTTTTACGAGGGGTGGAAGGGGGGAGGGCGGCAGGGTTGCGACACCGTTCCTGGGAGCACGCGTTGACAGACAGAGGACAATGAGTGCAATGAGCTTATGAATTTTCCGAGTCGCGTTCGTTGCTTATAATCCAGAGAGGACGACGTGCAAATGCGCATAGCTCGCTCCATTTGTTTATTCTTTTTTTTTCTTTTTTTTTTTTGTTTCATCGCTTTGTACATTTTTTGTTTTAGGATTTATTTTTTTAAATGCCAACATATTTCGTATTGTGAAAAATGTTCCGTAATTTATTTATTCATAGAATTCAGGAGACAATTTGAAAAGTGATTTGTTTGGTTTTTTCCTTTATCCTTTTGGATTTTCTGAACAAATAATTAAAAATTTTTTGCAAGAATTTAATTATTTTTAGAGTAAATCAGAATATTTTTTAAGGTCAGGGAAAAAGTTGACATTTTGTTTGAAAATGAGGGAAAAATAAAATTTTTGTGGCAATCCTGAATTTTTGCTTAAAAGCGAATTTTGAATACATAAAAAATGTGAAGATTTTTTACTTTAGTGTAAAGAACCCTGTTTATGGGTGGACGGAAAAAGTTTCATGTAAACTAAGTGTGAAAAGTCAGTTTATGCGTATTTTTATGCAAAGAGGGATCATTTTAAACAATGGCTTTTTCACCCTCACTGGCAGATATATTTTTTTTCTAGAAAATAGCCGAGAAAGAGAGAGAGAGAGATCTATATCTCGCATTCTTAAAGATCGTCCTCATTATGAAGAGAGCTTCAATTGAAAAATATCTGGAGAAAAACTTATCGTTTGCTCTACTTTTCTAGGCAATATTTCCATTTTTATCTCTATTTTTTTATTTCTAGTTGTTTTTTATTTATTTTTTTTTATTACTTTTTATTGGTTTTTCTCTCTCTCGTTCGATTTCGTATTCTCTTTATACATGAAAAGAATCTTTTTCAAACCGACTTTCGTCCTCGCTTTGCTGACATGCCATTAAGAGCTTCCTACTGAAATCAAACCTTTTAGATTCAATGAAGTTGGACGATTGAATCGTAAGGAATTGCAAAGCAGCGTTGACACAATTTTCTTTCGCTTCTGTTCCCATAAAGCAGATACGATTTCTATTATTTGACGGTGGATTATCTTATTATTTGAAAAAATTGCTTTCGGAGAAGAAAAATTATTTAATTTGATTGTTTTGAGAGATTTGGTACAAAAGTTAATTGATTGTTTGGAAAGATTTATTTGAAGTTAATGATTTTGGTTTTGAAAGATTTAATACAAGTTTTTCGATTTTTGCGAAACTTACCGAGACCGGCGTGTCCTAAACAGAAGAGGCAACCGTCTGTTCCATTGATTACGGCATGGATGACATCTGTAAGAGCGCTCGAGCAGATTTCCGTCTGTAAAAAAGTAATTAGTTTTTTTCCATTAAATTTTGTGGAAAAATTTTTGTGCAAATTTTTTTTTATTTAAAAAAACGTAAATACACTAAGAAAAAAATGCTAACGAATAAATCACATTTTTGTTTATGCAATAAACGGCTTATTCAACATCGTTCGAATCCTAGGCTTCGCAGTCATCTACTAAAACCTACTATTTACTACTATTTTTTTTAACAATTTCCTACTATTTGGATATTTTTTTTAATTTATGCCACAAAAAGCTACTTTTTTCTCTTTATTTTTTGGGAAATTTGCATCACTTTAAATTCGCTAATAGTTGAAATAAAAAAATAATTCTAAAAATTGTAAATTAAATTCTTAACGATTTAATTATTCTCAAATACTTTTCGAAAATTAATGATTTTCAATATCTATTCAATTTTAATAAAATTCCACAAAAGATTTCTGATAATATTCTTCGCAAACATTTAATTTTTTTATAAGTAATAAAATTTTTACAGGAATTGAATTATTTAAAATATTTCATAAATATAAAAAAAAAAATTAATTTAAAAACTTTTTATAAAATTCTACTGCAAGAATTCAATTATTTTCATAAGCAATAACATTTTTCAGAAAAGTTCAATTATTTATAAAAATTTCAATAAAATTTCAGGCAAGAATACAATTATTTTCGCATGAATAATAAAATGCTTCTCAAGAATTAAATGACCTATTTTTAAAAATTTTAATAAAATTCTTCACAAGTATTCAATTATTTTCCAAAATAATTAATTTTTTTACGAGAATTCAATTATTTACAATGAATTAAATAAAATTCTTTGCAAGAATTCAATTATTTTCAGAAATAATAAAATTCTTTTCAGAAATTCAATTATTTTTTAAAAAATTGATAAATTCTTGAATTCTTTCTTTAATTGTTCACAATTATTCAATTACTTTTCCAAATTATAAATTTTTTTCACGAGAATTCAATTATTTTCGTAAATAATAAATTTCTTCTTAGAAATTCAATTATTTTTTAAAGAATTGATAAATTCTTTAATTCTTTCTTTAATTCTTCACAATTATTAAATTATTTTTCCAAATAATAAATTTTTTTACAAGAATTCAATTATTTAAGAAGAAGTAAATAAAATTCTTCTCAAAAATTGGATTATTTTTTAAAACATTGGCAAAATCCTTTATTTAATTCTTTACAATTATTCAATTATTTTTCCAAATAATACAATTTTTACGAGAATTCAATTATTTAAAAAGAATTAAATAAAATTCTTCCCAAGAATTCAATTATTTTCGTAAATAATAAATTTCTTTTTAGAAATTATTTTTTAAAGAATTGATAAATTCTTTAATTCTTTCTTTAATTCTTCACAATTATTCAATTATTTTTTCAAATAAGAAATTTTTTTTACGAAAATTCAATTATTTAAAAAGAATTAAATAAAATTCTTCGCAAAAATTCATTTATTTTCAAATATATCAAAATTCTTCTCAAAAATTGGATAACTTTTTAAAAAATTGATAAAATCCTTTCTTCAATTCTTTACAATTATTCAATTATTTTTTCAAGTAATAAATTTTTTTACGAGAATTCAATTATTTAAAAAGATTTAAATAAAATTCTTCTGAGAAATTCAATAATTTTTTAAAAAATTTGAAAAATTGTTAAATTCTTTGTTTAATTCTTCTCAAGAATTCAATTATTTTTATAAATATCAAAATTCTTCTTTTAAATATATTATTTAAAATATTTACATAAAATACTGTGAATGAAATTAATTATTTTCTAAAATTTTAATAACATTTATTTATAAGCGTTACATTATTTTCATAAATAATTAAATTCGTCACAAAAATTCAATTCTTTTCATAAATAATAAAATTTTTCCCAGAAATTCAATTATTTAAAAAATTTACTAAAATTCGATTAAAAGTTTTTAAAAAAAATCAATTATTTACATAAATTTGATAACATTATTTATAAGAATTCAATTCTAAGAATTAATAATTTATTTTATCAATTATTTATTTTTATATTTAAATAATTGAATTCTTGTAGAACTTTCCAATAAAAATTAATTGAAAGAAAAAGAAAAGAAGGGAATATTTTTTATGGAAATTAGGGAAATACAGAATCAAATTTTTTTTTGGCAATTTTTGTAATTGAAACGTGTTTTTCAATTGGCAAACTTAATTTGTCGATAGCTACTTTTTTCACTTTTAAAGCTACTATTTTCCACTTTTTAAAAATTAATTATTGAGTGCGAAGCCTGAATGAAGAAATTATTGCTTCAAAAAAATTGAATTCAATAGCATTGTCGCTATTGGGCTAATAGTATATTTTTTTTCTCAGTGTAGATTGTATAGTAATTAATCTTAAGTTTAGCAATATCTAAAGGGTTAACTGTACATGACATCAAGATTAATTTTCAAGAAACAACCCCCTCAAGGAAATAGAAGTGTGAGAACTGGAAGATTGGCTTTGTTTGTGCCTAATATATTCATAGGTATCGTGTCTTTCTGGAATCAAAGAACCGTTTCCTTTACTCTACCTTCGTCCCTTCGACTACCCCCATTGAGAAGCTGTGGTTAAGGGTTGTTTCATCGAGTTTAACTATCGGCTCGGGCGTTGCAGCGATCCTCGAGTTTCGACGAAGCTATATCGGGGGGTGCAAATCAAGTGGCTTGCCATTCCCATGCGTTAAACAGAGATAGAGAGACTTGGAATTTTCAACTCAACAAGCCGTGTGGCAATTCGTCGTCTCAGAGGGATAAAATGTTAGCTAGGCAAATTGTTTGATGTGTCAGTCAATTTCTTTCTATAAGGGTGATTAAACTCGATTCGATACGGAAAAAGAGAATTTAAATAACGATAAATCAAGAGATGTGTATCAAATTATCAATTATATAGAACGAGTTGGGAAATACAAACAGAAACGAAGTAAAAAAGATTTTTTTTTCAAAGTTAAACAAATTAGATGCTGTATTTATTTAGAAAAAAGGAAATAAGTTTTTTTCTTCTCTTTGCGAGGAAATAAATATTTTAACTCGATATTTTTCCCTTTGAGGGAGAGAAAAAAAATAGTAAATCGCATGTGTAGAGAAAGTGAGATGATACCACAGGCCAAATAAGATTGAAATCTTTGCGGACGAGGATTCAATGAGGACAAGATGGAAAAGGAGATGAAAGCCCGAGAGCATCCAGGATGAGTCCGTGGTTTCTGGATTCGGGGAGGAGGTGAAAGGCAAATGCAGGAGGGAGATGAGTGAGAACCAAGTAGTTTGTTCAAGGGAAAGGGAAATAAGAAGTCCAGTCCTTTTTCCCTGATATGGTAATTCCAATCTGTCGTTGGCATTTCAAATGGGGTGTTTCCTATTCTATAGAGGACAAGGCTTTTTACTAGTCAATCGATTTTACCTCGCACTTTTACTCTAGTTTTTCCTTATTCTCATCTTTATTTATATTTCAAGTTTTCCTTTGGTTGCCACAATTTTTGTTTTTTAAATCATTTTCAAAGGATATCACAAATTGAGACAAAAAATGAATCAAAAGTGTTGCATCGCATCGCAACATTTTTTTGTCTCAATTTATGATATCCTTTAAAAAACTGAATCCATTAAATTTTATTTGAAGAAAAGGCGAAGTAAAATATTTAATTAAACTTAAATATAAATAATTACAGTAAATATTAACTAGTCTCCATTACTGGTGCTTTCTGCCCTATCATCTAATTTTGCAAACTTAATTTATCACCACAAAATGTTTATAGTTGGACATTTCTTGCTCTTTGTGAAATGTGTCAGAGAATATATATAGTACGGAGAAAAGAGGCTTTCAAGATTAAAATGGGGATTGTTTGAAAATGACAACAAGAAGGACATTCGTAATTATAACAGGATCATAGTGAGGGATATAATGCAAAGCAAACATATTTCGCGGATGCCCTGCGACTTGCCCCTTCAGTCTCTCCTTCCTTCCCCCTCCCCCCTTACCCCCCTCCTCAACGAGGCCGTGACGCTTAATGAAATACGTGACCGAAGCCTTCGTCATAATCTCAAACACTTGATTCTACACTCCAAGTTTTGCGGGGAAAGGAGTGAGAGAAGAGGAATTTCCCTGTCTCTGAGCCAGTTGAGAGGAATCTCAGTGCTCTCAGCTTCGGCGCATTTCGTCTCTAATTTACAGCTTCGTATCGATCCTATTTGACGAAGTAATAACTAAGAAAATCTCTCAAAAAGGAAAATTAATGATTTTCAAATTTTTTAAGAATTAATTCTGTACGGGGAATAAAATTAGAATCAATGGCGTTGGATAGTTTGGCGCTATCCCCACTTTAGCGATAGTGGAGTAAGGGGGTGGGGGGTGGAAACCAGCGAATAGAAACAGTTTAACGCTATCCCCACTCCAAAAGTTTTTATTTGCTCGTTATGTTCAATCAAGGCTTTGCACTTTTCAATTATCTTTATAAATAATAAAATTCTTCTCGAAAATTCCTAGGGAAATTCTTGTTCATTATTTGGTAGCACTGAATGCTTTAGGTTATTAAAAATGACCGGAAAAACCGGGAAATGACCGGCAATTTTTTTCAACCGTGAATTTCTTGTGTTCTTTCTACTACTTGTTTTCAAATTTGTTAAATATCCAAAAATGATCATTTTTTTTAATTTCGCGAATGTAATTGTAGTTCAAAATTACTAATGACATAGTAAACTAAATAAATATAGTTTGTGTTCATACTTTTTCGTTCTCATTTTTGATCATTTAAAAAATTATACAATAATAGAAATAAAGTATTTTTGAAAAGCACAAAAATATTGAAGATAAATGCCATTAAAAAAAAGAAAAAATGTTGAATTTTAAGAAATTCGTAAAGTATTTTTAAAAAGCACAAAAATATTGAAGCTAAATGCCATAAAAAAGAAGGAAAAATGTTGAATTTTAAGAAATTCGGATTTCTGAATTTTTGATAATTTCCGATAATTTTAGATTTTTT